AAACATAAACATAAACATAAACATAAACATAAACATAAACATAAACATAAACATAAACATAAACATAAACATAAACATAAACACCCGGTAAAGTCATTAAAACAAAACAAAACATTTGCAGCTTTTGCCATCTGCTTAAAAACTGATTGAAATGTCTGGAGATATACATGTAGTCTTAATAGTGAGCAGCACTTAACAATCTGTGCTCATTTACAATTTCTATTGTACTATGTAACTACAAGCATGTCTGTTCATTCCAGATGGAATCTCTGTCTGTCGAAAGTATCCCCCTTCCCCCAGAATTCATAACCGACAACCTAAGCTCAGGGTCATTGTTGAAACTCCAGTCACTGTTAACAAAAACAGTGCATTTCAGGACTACACTTACTTGGATGACTTGACTACAAATCATAATGTGCATTTGATCATATGTAAATGGGATTTACACACTACAATATTAAACTGTTATTATTATTATTATTATTATTATTATTATTAATCAATTGCTACAGGAACTCCTAGGTTCAAAAGATTTACTGTATTTCACTGTATTTAAGAAGCTATACCTAGACTTTCAGAGGTTCGTCTACGTCTCATTGCTGGAAGGTAGTCTGGAGAAAGCAGGACTCTAAACAACTTGTCAAAAGGCTTGCAGCTCATAAAAGCTTGCAGTCCTCTGGTATTCAAACAAAGGGCACTGAGCACACTTGGTAGTGATGAAAGAACTTCCCGTGTGGCTGGTACCTTGGATGAAAACAAGGAGAGAAACACACAGTTACCAGACTAACTGAATGAAGAATCCCTACTCTGAACTTTACACAGAGTGATCTTTTTAATCAAAAAATAACTAACGCATTTGAAGCCCTGATTATATTTACATGTGCTTTATCAACACTTTCACTCCCAAGATCTTACATCATGATGCTAGTTTGGTATCTGAACAACTAATTATCCCCTTATTGATATTTTTCTTTATTCTCATTACTTGTCTTCTTGATATTATATTGATATTGTAAGGAGAAATTCTGTCTTGGTCACTCATGGGAGTTAAGGATTAATTTTGTTCTCTTGCATGTAATGTAACACAAAGCAACCGACCTCTTTTACTACCAAAGCCTTCAGCATAACTGCAGTCAAACCATTGTCTTGGAGAGAAGACAGAAGTGATGGCTCATGGAAAACATACACAGTTACAACATCAATAGCTGTTGAGGAAAGAAATAAAGACCAAGGGTTCATTAATAAATGTTTTCAGCACCACAGTAACTGGTTTTCACAGGCTGGCAAAACTTTCTGAATTGAACTTCTTTATAAGATAAATTTTCCTCCAGATCGTCAAACCAGGTGGGTAAAATCGTCCTCACAACTGGTCAATAATTTGCCCAGTGCCCAGCCCTTGATGAAACCCCTGAAATACTGTGGTTGGAGAACTTGGTGATGACTTCCACTCAATTTGTAAAAAGGCCACCTCCTGCTAACAGCGAGGCCAGAAACATTCTGCTGAGGTTTGGCAAGTGATCAAACCTTTTTGAAAACTAGAATTTGACCATTATTATATACCTGCCATGAAGAGAACAGGGCCATAATACTCCACATTGCTGATGATGTACTTCAGTGATGTTGGAAGTGAGCTGTCCATTACTGAAAAAGATCAAATCAAGTATCCAGAATGTTAAATATTGTTCAACTCCAGAAGCAAATACTTTTGAAAATCCGTGTTACGAGTAGGAAAAAGATTTCATCAGTGTAGCAGCTGAAGAATGAAAAATAAGAAATAGAGTAACGCAAAATAAACAAACCACAACAAAAAACAAACAACGACAAACAATAACAACCAAAAATAGAGTGCTTGACTTTACTTGGCAATCATGCAATAATTATCTAAGATTTATCTGTTGATAATGTGATTGACTTTCATAAGAATTCTAAAAATTATCCTAACAATCCCTTCATAGCAAAATGAAAAGACAATGTTTATCTTTACCATTTCTAATACTCTCTGAGAAAGAAGGATCAGGAATAGATTTCTTCAAGAAGCTCAGAACAGCTTTAACCAGTGCAGCTCTCTGAGGCAAGCAGCGGTTCTTGCTGATAGGACTTGCTCCTGAGCTAGGGCCTGCAATCACTGACTTTTCTTTGCCTGAGTCCTGCTCATCCACCTCCATTTTGTTATCATCTGTTGCTCCTGTACTGTTGACATGTGGCTGCTCTGTTTCCATAGGAACCTCTTCTGTTTGAGATGGCTGCGAGGGAGCATCAGACTGGGTTCCCTGTGCATCGTTAGTTTCCATGGCAACACCCTCTTGTTGGTTAGAAGGTGCAGAGGGGAGCTCTGGAGACAGTATGGGTCCATGATGAGGCAGACATTTCTTTATTTCTTGCTGCATATTTTAAAAAGAATAAACAAAAAACAACATTAATTTTATCAAAACAAAGTATGTTGTGTTGCACTGGGTAGAGACAACACCCGTGGGCATGTAGATTTGGAAAAGCTTACTGGTATTATTATCCCACCTTGTATCTACAAAAAATTCTCTTTAAACACTTGGTTTCCAATAGTGTCGATGGTTTAGCAGTTTGTTCAAGTAAAATACTTGATTCAGCCCTCAGTTATTCCAAAGTCATTTGTCAATTACATGTAAACATCCAAGCACTTTTTACATGCAAACAATATACACTTGTGCTTTCAAACAAATACATGTATACATATATCTGCATTTAAACTGTACCTCTAGTCTTCTGATAATGGCAGTCAACCCACTCTGATTCTGGTAACCAGACAAGTCCATGTTGGCAATCCACTCCATAATACGAATTGCTCTTGTGACAAACTAATGATATATTAATACAGTCAGACACCAAACAACTGAAACAGATCTATATCACAACATCACCCATAGCTACATATCATGCAGTGTAAATACTCTCTCCCTTGACTATCAATACAAATCAGTAAGTCTGGTATAAGATCTTGAAGAATAGGTTAGGGCTTCCCTCTGTTTTCTATACAGTGTACTTACTAGTGCAAACTAGAGTGAGGTTTTTAATATGAAATGCAGCTACATGCACATGTACAGGCAAATAGAGTAAAATGACAAGATAATGCATGTATTCTCCAAATCTCAATCCAAAAAAAAAAAACAAAGAAATCAGGCCATTGAGATTTAGCCAAGGAATCCTGCATGGCAAATGTTGCATTGTGAGTGCCATCTAGAAGCTAACATTCTAACAAGTTGATAAACTGTGTGGTCAGCAGCTGAGAATGCCATGTACCTATGTTACACAAGTTTCCTTTTTAATGGCAACCAAACTGATTTTAGGTTAGCAATTGGCAGCTATGGACAAATTTGAGCTTGGAGCACTGCATAAGGCAATTGATGAAAGAATATTATTATATAACAACCAAATGCCACACCATTTTTTTTCTCCAACACGTAAATTTGATTATTAGTGATTATCTTACTGTCAAATGACTGTCTCCTCCTTGGTGTTCCACAACTCTTAGAAGAGCTTCTAACAAACCACAGGACACCAATGCTTCAGCACCTAATGAAAACAGCATAAACAGTAAGCTAAACGAAAGACCTGTTAAGTTAATTTGAGAGAGAGAAGTTCAATGAAGAGGTTCTAACTGCTGCACCCATCACGATACACCTTCATCTTGTGAAACAAACATACATTGTGGGAAGACAAGATGCTTCTGGTCTGTGAAATTAGTCAATTGCACAAAATTCCCTTGAAAGTTTCATAACTAGACTCAATAATAACTTGAACCACTTGAAACTTGACTCAAGCCTTGGCCCTCAGAGTTTTCATAATGCAGGGATTGAGAATCACTGATCAAGTTAAAAGGATCAATCAATGCACATTTGAGTGGTACTTTATCATTATTATGTACACAGACAGTTTAATTTAGCATTCTTACATGCAAATCTTATTTGACAAGATTGCTAACATTATGAGATGACACTTATTTGCAAAGAAAATGTCATGAAGACTCTACTAGTCACACTATTTTTCACTTACCAATTTCATAGTATGCCAAGTGGTATAGAAATGAAAACAACCCAGTTGCAAAAGGTAAGGGAAGAGAATCAGCTTGTGGGTCTGAAAAATGTGACAAGAACATGTTGTAATGCCACTCAGAATTGCCCACCCCTCATCTTGCAAGATTACATAAATTCTACGATACAAAGTAACATCTTAAGCTCTCAAACAAGTATTATTAAAACAAAGAGGAAGTGTAGAACCAGAAATAGACTATTGCATATTGACTAATTTAACCAGTACTGCATTACTTAAATAAAATAACTTAGATCATGAGTGCCTTGCATTTCTGTACCTGTAAGAGCTTGGATGCAGTTTCTTGTAAGTGTAGGTAAGAATCCATGATAAGATGCAAACCCTGTGCAGTCAATCACAGTGTTTACTCTGTGGTCAAATGAAAATACCAATCAATGCAACCTTCTGTACATTCTATACATGAACATGTTCTACAGTATTCAGTATTGCATCACAGGGTTTTACTCAACTAAAAATACCATTCTTCATGATCCACTTAGAGTCACTCATATTTTTACCCGAGGGTACATGTATATTAGTAAATCCTACTATCTGATTGGCTTCTTTGTCTGCTCTGGATTATCCTATCTCTACCTAGAGTCACTGCAACTTTTGCAGACGTGTTAACCAAAATTGCCAACAAATCCATTTCAGTGCACAAACTAACTTAAATAGGGATTCTTAATACACAAGAAAGGTGTGAAAACAATATTCCAGTAAAATGTTCTTTGAAATACTCAGTCATAGTTTACTGCATTCACTGAGTGCATTTTGTGTTTTGAAAAAGGCAGACAACTATCCGTGTCATTTGGGGGAGGAGAAAAATAAATAAGTTATATGCTGGCTGGGGGTCGCTGCAACATTTTCATGACCATGCTCACAGTTTTCCTTAAGACAGACCTCCCAGCTGGATAATCACATAACCACCATTTTTCCCACTCCAAACTACAGTTTTGTCCAAAAAAATACCTTGGACTGCACTCCATGTGCACAAGGGCAGTAAGAGTACGGATGGCTGCTGTTTTTATCTCCTGTAAGAATAAAATCACAGACCAGCGTGATATCAATTTTATGCCACTACTGTTAAAGCAAGTGAGCAATAAATCTTGCTCCATAACAAATTTTACATAAGATTTAATGGCAAATAAATTGTATGTCCATTCGACAAAAAACTTACACTGAATTGTGGCTGCTCCAACTCAAGTAATTCTACAGTTTCCTCAATAAATCCTTGATATAGCAATGGGTTTACAACATCTTGAGTGCTGTTGGAATACACTGTAACAGAAATAAACCAGTTTTAAACAAGTTTTAAACAAGTTTTAAACCAGTTTTAAACCAGTTTTAAACAAGTTTTAAACAAGTTTTAAGTTCGATAACTTCCATCCAGGACAGTTTTAAGAAGACTCACTACATAGTGGAGACCTTAGGAACAATTTCTCTTGCCACAGACCTCTATCCTGGTAAACAACAAACCAATGTACACATAGACAAACAACGGTGAGGATAAAGCTCTTACATAACACAGAGATGGCTTGGAGTCGAGCTTGAATACACTGCAACCTCTTCTCATGGAAAGGGAAATGTTTTGCCAGGCGTATTCTACTGAACAGATTTACCTGATAAACAAAAACAAAAGAGAGAAGTTAAAAGAATGATCTGTAAGGAGGTGATACTGGAATTTATTACACGACTCGCGCAGTCAGAGGGCCAATAACTAAAATCAACCAATCAAAATGCTCCATTGCCGGTTAATATTCTCTCAGTATTGGACCGGGCACTGTCCTGAATGGTCCCAAATGATACCGCACTTGTGTCCCTTTGAACTTCAGT